TTCGGTGAAGAGTCGAGGGCCATGGTACGCGTACGGGAAGTCACGAGGTTAGCTTCATTTCTCTCTACGTCAATGCTGTCGCCCGCCTCTCGCTTCTCCCTTGCACACAACCCAAGGCTATCTAGCGTCAATACTCTCACCGTCCATGCAAACTTCTAGCGTCGCCGCCGTCACTTCTCTACACAGTTAGGTAGTGGCTGAAATGGTACCACTCGATCCCTTTGCAGTGGACGCGATTGGGGAAGCTCTTCCGATGCAAGCTGTCAAAAACCCTCCCAACAGGAACAGCACAGTGCCGCAGACATCCTGCCGAACCACCATCGTCCTGACAGATGCGAAAATCTGAAACCAGCCATTACTACCACAATGTGTATGGGTGAGCCTAATATGAGGTTTCCCCACACGTAGCTGCCCGAACGTTGATCTTCGCCGCATTCATTGGCATGCAGTATCAGGTATGCAGCTCGCGTCCAAGTATCTTCGATCTCGACCCTTCAGCGTCTAGCATGTAGCGGTGAAATCCATAATGCTCCTTACTCCGATTCCGTTTAGCCCCGTAGTCGTCTCCCTCGGACCCGGCGCAACGCAGTGGCATGCATCCGTGCAGTATGGCCCGGAGCGGCAGATCGGTTTCTGCAGTGTAACTACCTCGTCTGTCAGATCTCAGCTGCCGTGTCACCACCAGGAACCAAACACTGGATTTCGTGGGATCCAAAGCGAGGCACTGGTTCGTTCGCTAGACCTGTCTTACTCGTAAGGTGCCTTGTGGCTGCAAGCAAGCTTAGTTCAACCATTCCCAAGGGCCCTTCACCCAGGCCTAAATCCAGGACACCTTGTCCTCGACGCGGGCCCGTTCACGATTGCGCAAGCCGACCTGCGTCGGCCGGATCAAATGGTGTCCGAAACATCAGCATTATCCATCACTCAGGTGCCGGTTCCAAAGTAAGGCCAGCCGCCAAACTGTCACAGACGGACGGTTCGTCATGACTCCATACTTCGCTACCAAACTTAGGATATCTCCTTCCGTCTGTTTATGACAATCAGCCGACATTCACCCACCGACCTACATCCTGATTGACCGCTGCTAAACTCGAACTCTATCAACCCAAACCCCACGAGACCATGCAGTCCGCTAGCGGCCACGAACTTTTGGTGACAACACAACCCCTATCCTGAAACATGCTTGGTGAAAATTAGAGTTTACGGGTCTACCCCAACAGGGATGCCCCACTTGCTCTAACCACACCATTTTGATCTCTCCTAGCCTCGCTAACGCTACAATTTCGCGCCCTCCCTCACCGATCACGCTTCACGATTCGCGCCAAGCGAGCCTGTTGCGCCATCAAGAGTCTCCGAAGCTTCTAGCTTTGAGGCTAGAAGTAGAAGATGGCGATGGCGTAACCCCTCGCTATCGAAGGGATTGGTGGGTCCTTGCAATTACAGTTTTCTTTCGCACTCGTTTCTTAGCAAACGCGAATGCGATTGTGACGTCGCTGGGCCCCAAGTGACTTTATCCATTGCTCTTGGACTGTTTGACCTGCAGGCTGCATGAAGGACGCAATTGTGGGGTGCATTGCTGAGGCTGAAAGTGGCTTACTTCTGACGTTGGTGGTCGAATTGGTGTAGACAACAGGCGAGGAGGGAAGCGCGCCTATTCGGTCATCGCGATACCTCCAGCTCTGCATGCTTCATCCATGCCCAACCATGACACCATTGTGGCTACTCAACCAAACTTTGTGCACGCTACTTTCGGGCACCACGGTACCAGAGATCTTAGTATGTAGATTGGGGGTTCATTCAAAACGTCGGAATCAATATCGCGAGGCTAAGACGGGAGATACGCAACCATCATCCCAGTGGTCGTTACTACCCAGAGCCTAAGATGGCGCAATGCTCCGGATCTAAGATAGCATCTTTGAGTCTCCGAGATCCATCTAGAGAAAAGAGAGAGTCGCACAGCTTGCCGCAGATGGTTAATTTGCAAGGACAGCCCATCAGAGCGATGTATGCCACATTGTCCCGCATCCGTCTACATGCCACATTGTCCCACATCCGACGTCTGCATGCCACATATACGACGCTAGAAGAATCCTAGAAGGGCCCTGTCTGTAAATTCTAGCTCACATCGACGTTGATTCGATGGCGTGCATACCCGACCTGCACCCTCGCACGCCACACCGTGGTTCACCGGAACCTACTCCGTTCTAATGTACTTGTCAAAGATTTTCGAGATTTCGCGCGCGCTCTTCTTAGGGTATCGCTTCTGTCCACCCTTGTAGTCGACGTAGGTAACGCCGAAACGTGTCGTGTAGCCCTCGGCCCACTCAAAGTTGCTGCAGGTACACTATGTCAGCGTGTGTCATGACGCCTTTTACCACAGCGTTTCGCGGGAAGACCAAGGAATCAGTGTTTGAAGCTAGGAGAGATAGATGATCTATCCGAGTACGAACACGCAACACCACAATGCGGACAATAAAGTCTCCACCACTCGTTGGGAAAAGGAATTTCCATATGACAAGTGGGGAGGAAGGGTGTAGGAAACGTTGAAACTTGGAAGAATATGGGATGAACGTACTCCATGAGACTCCATGCGGAATAGCCCCTGACATCGACTCCGTCCAATGTGTGAGCGTCGGCCAAGGCTCCAATATATCCCCTGAAGTATTCGCAACGGAACTCATCGTCCAGCAGCTTCTCAAGAGGAAGATCGTTCTCTCCCTTGAGACTGGTGCCATTTTCAGTCACATAGAAGGTCGGGCCGCCATACCTATCACTAAGCCACTTGATTAGTTTTCTGAAGCCCAAAGGCATCGGCCTGAGCCAGACTGATTGTGTCTCTGGGCCGATCCATTCGCCCTTCTTGTTCTGGTAAAGAATGTCCAGGTTGCCAACATGATCTTCAGGTTCTGGCTCAGTCTCCTTGTGTCTAATGTAATTGGCGCAGTAGTGGTTCATGCCATAAAAGTCATTGCTCCCCTTGACGAGAGCCGCTTCTTCCGGTGTGAATTCAGGCAAGCGATCACCAAGTTGCTTGCGCATCGAGTCGGGGTATTTGCCAAAGTACACTGGGTCGCCAAACCAGCAGATTGCGAACTCGATCTTTCGGTCGCAGGCTTCGCGGTCCTTCGGATCTTCTGGATCCCACGGCTCCGTCCAGTCGCCTACACGACATATCAGTACACGTTTTTCATGCTCAGACGTCAGACCGATTGTAGCTATCCTCGCACGGGCTCGATATTGCGTGGGGTCGGTCCACTGTCATACGGTATACGCGAGCCACGTGCTGGTCACTTACCGTTGAGCGTAATCCCAATCTGGCCTCCATCCTTGGACTTGAAGTCATCACGGTAAGCCTTGACTGCCGCACCATGAGCAATGAGGAGCGAGTGGCCGACGATCCACGGCTCCCTCGAAGAGTCACCCTCTGCGCTCTTGCTCCGATCACTACAACGGCCGGGGGCAAAAAGGCCGGTGCCATATCCGAGAATGGAACTGCACCATGGCTCGTTGAAGGTGATCCAATATTTTACCTTCGAACCGAATGCCTTGAAACACACCCTGGCGTAGTTCTCGTAATCCTTCACGAACTCGTCCTTGTTCAGCATGCCCCCATATCGCTTGTGCAGGTTGTCTGGGAGATCCCAATGAAACAGCGTTATCATCGGTTCGATGCCTGCGGCACGGAGGTCGTCGACCAACTTGATGTAGTACTGCAGACCTTTTTCGTTTACAGGGTCGTTGCGTCCGCCGAGTGGTATGATGCGGGACCACGAGAGAGAAAAGCGGTAAGATTTTGCGCCGATATCCTTCAAGAGAGCAATGTCCTCGTCAGTGCGGTGGTAGGAATCGCACGCAACATCTCCGGATTCTCCGCCTGCAATCTTGCCCGGGATGCGGCAGAAGGTGTCCCAAATAGAATCGGCACGGCCATCTTCATGCGGTGCGCCTTCGATTTGGTAACTGCAGGTTCGGAAACTCAGTATGTGACAACAAAGCGGCCCCCAAAACGATACATCGTGGCGGGGTACTTGGGTACTCTCCAGAGTGGAGAACGGTACTGGGTCAGACGAACCTTGCTGTTGCAAATCCCCACAGGAAATCTTTCGGCAAGTACGACTGCGACATGTTGGTTTTGTAGTCAAGCAGTATGTGTGCTTGAGCTGACAGTTCAGAAAAAGAACAGAAGGCTACCCGCAGCAACGGGACACCTATACTTCATATACGTGGACACAGTAACGGCTGCGGAGAACGTCCCGCCGTAACCGTCCTCACGCGTCGACAAGACCTTGACAGACGCGCCGTAAGACATATGAGGAACTTGGTAAGACTCCGTCAAGCTCAAGCGGGCTATAGTCGATTTCTCTGTGTCGTCAATGGCTCCTTCGCCCATTGACCCCGCTCATCGTCACGATCACTTGAGGGTTATAGCTTCATCCCACATGACGAAGCTATACTTTTACGTCGATTCTGCCCGCGAGGGTCTACAATGTCCAGGGCGGTCAGTGGGACCTCGGGCCGCCGATTCAGCCTGCCTATTAACCTGCTAGGCGTGGCGCGGAAGTCATCTTGGGCTGAGGTGATGCCTGGAGGAGTGGGATGGCGGGGTACTGGGCAAGTTGAAGCGGCCGTTTTCCTTCCGACCACTGCCAGCTAACATGTTGCGCCGAAGAGAGTGTTCCTCGTCTTCTTATTCGTGAGCCTAGGAGCTGATGATGATCCAAGATGGAGATGTCGGAAACGATGCTCTACACGTAGTGGTAGTTACGACACAGGTGGGTTGCAAGAGCTCATAGAAGGCGCTATGCCTCATTGAGAAGAGCTTCCGGAGGTACAGTATCTTCTCTCTCGAGCTTCAGCTTCAAGACTCTGTCGGAACCACAGTGAAGTCTGGTGCAACCTCGGCGCAAGCACCAGTATATAATGGGCGGCTGTTGGGGATGAATAGGACTATGATACAGCCTTAAGACAGTCGAACACTCTCCAAACGAACGCCCGCGACGATGCTCTCCGCGCTTCGAACCATTCGATCTCCGACGAGACGCGCCACAACGCAACTGCGCACCGCTGCGACACAGGCTCAGAAGCGCGCAGGCGATATATCCGACGCTTTCGCGTCGCTCTCGGGACAGGAGTTTAGGCCTCTGACGTCCGAATATGCCGACCTCAAAAGCCGTCTGATCCGGGGACATGAAGGCGAAGTACGGGAATCTTGGGAACGCCTCCTTCGGACACTTCGCGACGAGATTCCGCTCATTGTCGAGCAAGGTAGCAAAGTCATTCCAGAGATTGACTTCAAGGACATCGATAATGCACCGGAGTCCTTTAACAGCGAGCTGCGCAAGAGAGGTGTTGCAGTTGTAAGGAATGTAATACCCGAGCAGGAAGCGCTGCAGTGGAAGGAAGACTTGAAAGAGTATATTCGCCAGAATCCTCAGACAAAGGGTGAGTATATGTGTGTGTGTGCATCTCGGTGTGATGAATGCGACTGACCATGTTGTAGCTTTCCCCGCCGATAACCCTCAAGTCTTTGAATTATATTGGTCGCGTACCCAACTCCTCGCTCGCGGTAATCCAAACCTCCTCAAGACGCAGGCCTTCCTCATGTCATACTGGCACAGCCTCAACCCACACATCCCACTCTCCACAAAACACCCGATAAGCTACGCAGATCGCTTGCGCATGCGCCTACCCGGCGACGCCAAATTTGCACTGGGACCACACGTCGATGGCGGCAGTGTAGAACGCTGGTCTGAGGAAGGCTACGGGCTCGGGAAAGTCTACGACTCGGTCTGGAAAGGACGCTGGGAAGACTTTGACCCCTGGGAAGCCAGCTGTCGTCTTTCTGTCAACTCAGACCTCCACCAAGGCGTAGGAGCATGCAGCGCATTCCGCATGTTCCAAGGCTGGCTGTCGCTCTCCACAACTGGACCCTTTGAAGGTACACTGCTGGTCAACCCGTTGTTGGCCAAAGCCACCGCATACTACCTCCTCCGACCCTTCTTCTCTCCCAAACGAGGCGTAGACCCCGGTGCGCAAACGACTTCTGAGGCCCTCACCAACTCAGCGGACTTCCTCGCTTCGGATAACTGGGAAATGGATACAACACAGAACGCATGGGTACATGGCGCGACGCCAGGTCGTGGTCAGGAGCTATCCCACCTCCTGCATCCGCATCTCAACCTGCAGAAGTCGATGATCCATATGCCGACAGTCAGACCTGGCGACTACGTCTCCTGGCATTGCGACACCATTCACAGTGTAGACAAGACGCATGCAGGCAAGTCCGACTCGAGCGTTTTGTACATTCCAGCTTGCCCGATGACGGAGGATAACGCCAACTACCTTGTCCGGCAGCGCCAGAACTTCGTCGATGGAACCCCGAGCCCGGACTTTGGCGGCGGTATCGGTGAGAGCGAGCATGTTGGGCGTATCAAGGCTGAGGATATGCATGCTTTGGTTGGTGATGAGGGCTGTCAGGCCATGGGGTTGCAAGAGTGGGATAGCGATGCTGCGGGCTTGGGCCCTGGTGAGAGAGTCATTCTGGATCGGGCGAACAAGATTCTAGGATTTTACGATTAGCTATAATGAATGTTGAATGATCACTATAGGTTTGATTCGAGAATTCATCCATCGTTACGATATTTCTATCTTACTCCAGTATCGCTAGGAGAGCCATTATATACAAAAGGCGAGCGTCGTAATATCAGCTTCGGACCTGTTCCGACAGGTATTCTTGCTCTCCGATGTCACCTCCGACGACGATCCTATCGTCGACTCTGATGGTTCTGGTGTCCTTCCAGACATTTGGATTGATGGTCACGGAAAGCTTCTTAACTCATCTTGCCCAGCTTCGTCGACAGTGAGGATTAGCAGCACTGAGAACCGGCATGCAGGGCTCAAAGCATGTGAGATCGAATTTAGGGGCTATTGCTTTGCCGGAAAGTTTTGTTTTAGTGAGCTTATGGCCGCTCGGAATAGAGGACTGGAACTGGACCCTGTGTTCGAGTTGTGGGCAATGTTACGAGACTGTCATTGGCCTGATAGTGCGAGACGTCGTCTCTAGGGTCAACTGGAAATTCACATCATGTGATTGTTCGGACCTTGACTTTGGTCAACGAGACGTGAAGGCAGGAAATCACACCCAGCGTTCAGAAAATCGTCCCCCAGGGTCAGTTAGTAATTTCATTGAGTAACAGTAGACTGTAAGAGCGTGAACTGGGTACTCTGGAAGTTGGAAGACTCGTAGTATGGAAGGGAGGAGAGAGTGCGCTAGTTCAACTAAAGTTATGCGAATAAAGCAGAGATGAAAGTTTCACCTTCACCTGCTCTCTCACCTTCCTCACAAACGATATCACGGCCTTGGCGCGCGACACCAACAACAACCGCTGTTATTCCTTCTGCTTCCAACCTTCCCTATCGACCAAAATCTCGCGCTCATCTACGCAATTGAATCTCATCACGTCGTGAGCTACTCAGGTCGTCGCCAAACCAGTGAGTCCTTGTCGCTCGCTGCGATCACGCACTCTTCATCGACACTCACTGACCACAGCAATTCTAGTCCTGCCACCACGATGCAGATCCCGAAGCAAGTCTCCGGTCCAGCAGACCCAAAAGAGCCTTCCTTCCTTAGCCTTCCGGCCGAGATTCGTAACTGGATTTATGAGCTCTTATTCACGCGCGATGAGCCTGTCTTGCTCCACAACGCCAAAGCATATCACGCTACCTTACCCGAAGACCTCTATACTCCCTTCTATGGTTTCAATCGGCGGCAGCAATTAATCGATTATTTTGATGACTCGTACGAGGATGAAATCGTTCAGGGCGGAATCTTCGTCCACGATTTTCAGACAGTCACTCCCGCTCTTCTCGTATGTCGGCAGGTATATGCTGAAGCAGCTGGATACCTATACGGCAACAATACTTTCATGTTCTCGCGCCCGCTTTATCATCATGATAGTCGCGACGGTGACGAGTATTATGTGGAAGAAGACGATGAATCGTACTTCGTAACGAGTTATGGGGCCCAGTGGCTGCAGAATCTGGGCTCTCAACTCGAACTTCTAAACAAGGTTCGCGTAGACGTCGGTGCTTTGTGTCCGAGGAGTTGCATCCAAAGCATGGGATTTATCCCTGTCTTGAAGCTTGTACGGGTGCTATGGAGATATCCCTATCTCGCAGATGTGGTTGCGTTCACTCAGAGGGAACCAACGAAACGCGAGATGAACGATTTCGGTAGGTCCAACCATTCAGAAGACGAATATACGATGGAATTTGAGGAATACGCCAAGCGTTTACAAAAGATTTTGTTCACAATTGGTGTTCAAGATGTCCTGAACTCGAGGCGTTACGCTTCCCTGGATCTCCTAGTCACCGATATCAACCTCGCGTCGTCTTTAGACTACGGCCACGTTACTGGACCAAATCTAGTGCTGAAATTTGAGACGCCGGAAGATGGAGCTGTGAGATGGCTGGAGAAAAGCGAGACCCCCCTCAGCCCTCTCAAAGACCTGGATCTGCCCCTCATGCGCAAGATCTTTAGCCTGGTCACATTTCCAGCGGACCAGATTATACTTGATCTTGACCAGCGCAAATTCCGTGGTTTCAGCCCAGTTATCCTTCATTTAAACAGCAAGTTCAGGCATCTGCCGTATGATCGGATACCAAAAGACATCAGCATTCTTATTAGGAAGAGCATCAGCACCACAACTTTCGATCTCATCGGCGCCGTCAGGCCAATTGGTCCCGGCGGCGAACACTCAGGGATCTGGCATGCTTCCTTACGAGGCCTTTTCAACAATTCATCGATAGGCATCGTCCTTGACTTCAATATTGCAACTGCAACCTCCTTGAAGGAAATTCGTATCAATATCAAGAACGCTGTACCTGAATTGATACACAGCTACTTCTTTTCCAAAGCAAAGCTTCTATTCTGTCTCAAATGTCCTTGGGGAAACGCTATACACCACGAGGAAGTCACGATTCGGGTGGTAGAGTTAGTACAAAACCTCTTCCTACTCTTGAGCGATATCAAACAGCAATGGCCTTCAGAGATAGATAAGACCGGCGACAAGCAGCTTCCTGATATCTGGCTTAGTGGAAATGGCGTCCTCATCTCTGCATCCTATCCGGCAACCTCACACTCTTCGGAACGCCGTATAGAGTATGCGCATGGCCGACTGACACCTACCGAGATACGTAACCGGGGGTACAGGATGGCAATGACGACCGATCCGACTTGGGATCTTGGACGCCATGTAGGAATGCTGGGCGAATGCTGGGACCATATACGTTGCCATCATTATCACGACAGGGACTGGAAGAGGGTATGAAGAACGGTGAAGGGTTACAGAAGTCTTACAATCGGTTTCATACTGATCAATGAAAAGCATCCAGAGAATTCAATTTCGCACAACATATAGGAACGCACTCAGACAATAGACTAAGCACGATGGAGTGGCATGCAGTTTATCCAAATCGAAGGAACGTCGCAAAACAAAGGATAGAAGCGGGCAACTGTAACGACATCTCCTTTTGCTTGTCATTCAACGTGCAGCTGGTGGAGCGATAATGATGATGGAAAGAAGCATGGGACGGACATCGTCATTTTTGTCTACACGTGTATGCAACAATTTCACTTCTGGTCCATCGTAACGGGGGAGTGTTAATGGCAATGCAGAGCAATAAAACGTGGCCAGAAGAGTCTTAGTAACTTGCAGAATGACAATGCTTTTAATCTTTTTACCGCACCGGTACCACTTTCCTGCTGTCCTCTTCACATGATAACAAACGGATAATGATAAACCCTTAGCGAACACTGCAACACTCCGCGAAGACCTAGATCTCAACAGCCGAGGTATGACATGGTATGACATCGTCTCTTCCAACAATGACGAAAAGAAGAAAACAAGCCATGTAAGAAGTGCCGAAACAGATTGCTTTATCTCGAACGGGGAACGACGCCACGGGTATCGTTGTTGTTTCAGTGACCCCGGATGATCACTCCGTTTTAGCTTCAAGTGACGAGGACAATAGCAAAAGCATGGGATGAAAGACCCTGGGAGTCTAGGAAGAGAGAGAGAGAGAGCATGACGTAGTGTTCCCAGGCTAGCGAACGAATATGTGAGATTGTATACCGTGAATTCGTATACGAAAGCGACACGCAATGCTAGAACGCTACAAATACCCAAATGACCAAAACAGTCAACAACCAAAATACACTTTTGCTTATACACGGCTTCCGTTCATTGCAGAAGCGGGCAGCTCACCCCCTCTGATCTCACTCATCGCATACCCGGGCCGCCACGCAGGATGAATCTCACTCAACCCACTACCGATATTCACCGTACTCCTCGGCTGCGCTTCAGTAATGTAGCTTACGCCGTCTTCCGAGACGTAGGAAGGTGGGCGGGGACCTTCTGGCTGTTGTGATGTGGGTGGTGCGTTGGTGGACGCAGCGCTTCCACGTAGAGACGCAGCCGCAAGGACGGCAGGACCAGACATGGATCCAGAGCGCGAGCGCATAGCAGTAGACATGGCGCTTCCGCGCGCAACATCATCGGCACGCTGCCAATGCAGCAAGTTGGGGTCCACACGTACGCTGCTGCGCCAGAGCCCGTACGCCGGTGGCGGAGGCGGCGGCATATCCTTCTCATCATCCATCACTACGTCGTTCGCCAGAGCTGCCTCGCTATCCACACTACCGTCAGCAGCCTCCTCATCCCGCCTGAGATGCACGCGAATTGGAACGATAGGTTGGAAGCCCTCGCCCCCACTTCCCATCATATCGGGCATGACTCCGCGGTGGCTGTCGTGAGGCGAAGGTGGGTTCAGCATGAGCATGCAGAGGCGGATGAGGGAGTGGCAGAAGAAGATTGTGACGGTGAGCAGAACCATGATGAAGAGGATGTGAATTTCTTGGCCGAGGGAGCGGTTTGTCAGGGCGATTGCTAGGTCTGTGAATCACGTTGTTAGTGATGAATACGTGAGGGATTGGACGAACGGATCAGACTTACAGATTGCGAGGATGGTAATCAAAACCGTCCCCGAAATCACACACGCTATCATTTTCCCTCGTGCAGCTGATCCGCGGATATACACAGCGGTGGTGTGTGTACCTCGCTCTTCTCTTCTGCGTACCCATCCGTTTGATCCATTTGATCCAGATCGTTCAGTGCGGTGGCGATGGTGGTGGTGCTTTCTCCGCTTGTGGTGCTTCCGGCGTTTGTGTCGGCGGCCGTTTATTTCATCGGCGAGTTGCTGAATCTCGGAGTCTGCAAAACCTTCTTGCTGATGACTGCTTCCAGGCAACGGGACGTCCGCTGGGTGACGGGCAGAGTAGACAGTGGTTGGTTCCTGGTGGTCTTGAGGTGGTGCGATGGCGCCGATGTAGGACCCTGCAGTATGATGTGCATGGAGAGGAGATCTGGAATCGTGAGATTCACGATGTGTGGTGTCGCCATCGAGGTTAGGCTGTTGCTGGCGGTTCCAGAAGCCTAGGAAAGGTGTTTTAGGTGTATTGATGTTGGTATTGTTGTTGAGGGCCGGCGACTGCGAGTATATCGACGATCCGTTGACAATTCCCCTCACGTTATTCCGGAATGCGCTGAACCGCGACGGATTCTGTGTTGCAGGCGTCCTTAAAGAGGCCTCGAGGTCATGATCCTGATCTGGTCGTGGTGACCAAGCGAAAAGTGGTGACCGAAACATGGTGAGATCCGTATATAGCGCGATTTGCTTGCTCAAGTCCAGAAATACACGCTTACAAGACCCCCAGGTGCTATCTTGGGCGTATGTGTATTCCTTATAGTGGGCGCGTCCTCGGTGCTAAATGCGTCCTTTCGCGTTGATGTCCCTTGACAACCCCAATGGCGAATGAGAGGGCTATGCTCCTGTTCATGCAGGAACACCTTGTGGCGGGACTGTGACAGGAAAGAGAATGTGGAGTAATCGAACAATGAATGGATCCTCGCCCTTGCCCAAGACCCTTCTAGTGTTTGCAGTATGTCCAGTGAAGAACTGTTGGCTATACCTCTTGTTTTCGAGAAAGAATCGAAACCAGAAACCCAAATCTCAGAGCGACAGTATTGGAAAAAAAGACTTGGTTGGAATAAAAAAGGGACCAGGACGGCTATCCAGAGCGCACCTAGGCCAAACGAGCGCAAAAGAACGAAAAGAAGCGAAACAAGCCGGAGCACAGCAACCGCTACCTCTATTACCAATGACTTAAAGGAAAGAAGGTGAACGACAAACAACAACAAGAGGTTGAAAGGGAAAAGGGAACCGTCACAAGGTCGCACCAGGGAGTGGACATGGGGGGCGCGGCATCCAAGAACCAGGCTGGTCATCATAACGCGAGAAAGCATTGAACGCCATGCGTTTCCGCGACGAGTGGCGTATCAGACTTTGATCGCTGTGAGGGTGAAACACGATGTCCAGCGATCCTAGGCTGTGTCACGGACCGCGTTCGCGTGCATCAGATCTGGATGTCTGGCTAATTGTGGCCTGTAGTTGTTGACCGGAAGAAGGGTGCGGGTAGCAAAATGGCCAGGCTGGATGCGCGCTGGTTGGCTGAGATAAAAACAACTTGAAACGTCTACCCCAATCAGGAACGTATAGCTCACCAACTAAGCGGTTACTATTTATGTGCAACGCGACATCATATAGCAGCATAAAGATGCATAACATTCAAATCTCCATCTTTGCTGATTTGTGTCTAACTCTGCTAATTGACAGTGATGCCATGACACTGTTCAAAAATTCCGTCTCGTCGACACGTCTTTCTGTTGTTCCTCTCGCTTCCTTGCGGTTGTTGAAGACTGTTGTTACATGCGACCTCCCAACCCTGTCAAACGTCGCACCGGCGTATCCAGTCCTATACATAAACAACGCCCTTGTGACGTACCGTGGGGCCGGAAGTCCAACTCGGGCCTTTCTCCACAGCTTTCATCCCGGGGATTTTAATCTCGAAGCAAATTCGCGTAGCCAAGTTGCTTCACCTCCACATTCACTTGCCTAGCTCACCTACCATGAGCTTGCGATCCGAGGATGCGGAGAGCACTAGGATTGCCAAGTCAGCTTCGTGCTTCGTATTGAGGGATGAGGGGTGTCGAAACGCCTGTTCAAGAGGAGTTTATGCAGTGAAATGTCCTCCTCGCCGCCTCAAGCGCTGAGCGAAGAGGATGTGAGAAAGCTTGGAAAAGCCTCTCCGCAGAGCCTCCCCGCTTTGATCGCCATAGGGCTGGGATGATGAAGCGTAGCGTGGGGTCTAGAACAGATACTTGGGCGAAAGCGAATGCGAAAGAAAGTCTGGTGCACTTACAGATTGGTTCACCGAGCGGGTGGAACCGCACATCGTTGACAGCACCTCGATGGCCAGGAAGCTTGTTCAACAGCTTTCCTGTCCGCGTCTCCCAGACGGCTACGCTCTGGTCTCCGCTCCCAGCAGCAATCTTCTCTCCCTTGGAGTCCCAGCTCGCCTTCAGGAGGTTGCGCTCTTGGCCGGTTGGGGCTCCGTCGTATGTCTGAATGCGCCTGTCTGCAGGCGCAAATGGTCTCACATCCCATGTCCTGACGGTCGAGTCGTGTGCGTTGGATAGGAGAGTTTGATTGTCAGGAGACAATTGGAGCGAGGTGACGGTATCCGTGTGACCCAGCAGCGTGTAGGTGACGGCCTGTTTCCGTAGATCCCAGACCTTGATGTCGTTGTCGATGCCTCCGGTGAAGAGCTCGTTGCCAGCTTCTGCCAAGCATATGGCGGTTATGGGGAAGTCGGTGGGGATGAATGTCACGGCGTCTTTCGTTCTCGTGTCCCAGATCTGGAAGAGTCAGAAATGCTCGACGAGTATATGTTGATGCACTCACGCCGATGTAGCCGTCGTCTGAGCCGCTCACGAGCATCTCCTCACCACGCTTGCTCACATCCATGCAGTTGATGACCTCTTCGTGCCCGGGGTGTCTTCGTATCCTCTCTCCCGTCTCGACGTCCCAACTGGCTAGGTGCATATCGGCCGAGGCGGAAAAGAGAACCTTGGAGTCGCGCGACCAATGCAGATCAAGCACCGCTTGCTTGTGTCCTGTCAGAATACCGTAGTTTTCGCATGATGCAGAGCTACGCCAGAGTAGTATGGATCGGTCCATGGAACCGGACGCTATGTACTGTCCCGTCGGATCGAATCGCGCTGCGAAGACTTCGCCAGAATGGCCCGTCAATTCCATAACCGGCGACTGCAGCGCGCTGGTACGCGACCCCTACAGCACCTGTCAGCACGTCGACATCTTCAGCTTGGTACTCTATCATAAGTCCTTGGTTGTCACATACCGCTTGTATAAGCGCGCCATTTGCGCCAGAGCCATTCACTTTGGCTACCGCCGAGCTCGCAAGGTTCGCGTCCGACTTTGTGCGCTTGACCAGTTGGCTGGTACCAAAGGCTTCATTGGCGGGTCGCTTTTCTCTCGACATGGCGATGGAGGGGTGCTTGGTTCGCTATCTTGGCGAGAGGTGTGGATTGTTGCGCTGTGGTTGCAGGCGAGTTGCAGCTGGTAAACTTTCAGGCAAGGCAGATGCGCGCTAAGGCCCGCCCGTACCAGGAACGCTCCTCCGCAGTCCGCATGCTCCCCGACGCCGACAACACGACTTGATATCACACTCCTACACCAAATACCCGTGACATCACACTCCTACACCAGATACCCCTGACTCTCTAGCACATCCACATGGCTTCATCGACCAAAGCGGCCCGCATGGGCGAGGAGTGAGCTCCAGGCGTCTAGTAGTTGCTTCAACATGTGCTAATAGATGTCAGAGTGTGGAAGTAAGTCTCGCATACGACTGGCCTGGGCGACTGCATCTGACAATCCAAGGACACGAGTAGACAAGGTCAGCGCCGAGCTTGTCACCCTCACATACGGCACCATTGTCGCCCAACTATGCAAGGACTACGAATACAACTACCCCGACGTCAACAAGCAACTCGAGCGCATGGGCTACAACATCGGCATACGGCTGATTGAAGACTTCCTGGCCAAGTCAAGCGCACCTGCTTGCACCAACTTCAGAGAGGTCTCTGAGATGATCTCAAAGGTAGGCCCGCTGAGCCGCATTTACTTTTACCGCAAGCTGACGTACCGGCTATAGGTTGGCTTCAAGATCTTCCTCAACATTACACCGACAATCACCAATTGGTCGAGCGACAACAAGCAGTTCTCCCTCATCTTTGAAGAGAACCCCCTTGCCGACTTTGTGGAACTGCCCGACGATGGCCGCGCGCAAGATGAGCTCTGGTTCTCCAACATCCTGGTCGGCGTACTGCGGGGTGCACTAGAGATGGTATGTAAAGAGCGTGTCTGGATGGTTTATACATATAGTATGCTGATATCGGCCAGGTACACATGCAGGTCGAGGCGCACTTTGTCAGTGACGTTCTCCGAGGCAATGACACAACTGAGATGCGGATAACGTTGATCCGCTTTATTGACGACGAGATGCCACCGGACGATGAGTAGAACAAGGTTGCGCAACGAGAATGCAAATCCGTTGTTTCGTGCTGAACATGTAGGGGTGCGCGGAATGCATCATCTGCCTGGAATTGCACTCTGTGATTGTGTTGGTAGAATCGGCACAGACGCCCGGCGAACTCACTGCACAAGACTAGCTAGAGTGCACTATTGAGATGGCCATTGAAGCCAATGAGAAGGCAATTGCACAATGGCGCAATTGCACTACCACTGATGATTGTAGACGGAGTCTGAAGCTACAAGGTGCATTAGTCTTTCCTCGCCCCTTAATTTCAACGTAATGTCGACGGAAAATCACACCCAACAACCAATTCATGTGAGTACGTCTACGGGTACAGGTATAGGATTGCTACCGCTCTGCGTCGTGGACATGTGCGTCGAGTTCGCGTTACATGTGCCCCACCAACCTCCTAAATACGCAGGCACAGGTGCTGGAGTGCTGTCATGCGATCACGATACAACCCATCTACCATGTCTGACGTCTTGACTTGCTTGATGCGGAATGAAAAACAAAATCCAACCACAGTTGCGATGAGGGCGTGATGGAGCGCGATAGGAGGCTGGAGCATACGAGTCTAATAATACCGAAATCACGTGGGCGACTTGGCGCAGCTCACGAGCGGCCGCACGCTTCCCCTCGATTTGAATCACTTTCAACTTCGCACAACCTTGCGACAATCCATCTGTGCGGCTGACCCAGACGCGCCCTCTTGCGCCGGCACATCTCCATCGTTGTTGTTGTTGTCGTTGTCGTGACGAGATCTCTTGGCAGCCTCCGTGCAGCGCGCCGCTGAGGTCCCTCTTGTGAAGTCCTTCCTTCACGCTAACCCCCGACCCATACCGTGCATCAGCCGCCGCCTTTTCATCGCGACACCAGCGTCGCTACCCTTTCTCGGCAACCTTCATCCCACCCGGCTGCCCATCTCGCGCGACATCACCGGCCCTCGTCGTCCAGCACATCGCGTCCTTGGCACGACGCTCCGCTCCGCTTCCCAGCCCGTGGCGACGACGTCCCATGCTGTTGTAGTCGGCCCATCCAGCACTGAGGTGCACGACACAGCGCGTCTATTGCTACCACCGCGCACCTATCGCTAACTCCCCACCCACCCATCGCGCCTGCCCAACCCAGCAGCACACGACGCCGCGATGCAGAACCAGCAAATGGCCCAGATGCAGGCGCAGATGAATGCGAATGGCTCCGTCAACGGCACCCCCGTCATGGGCAACATGGCGCAACCCAAACGCATGGGCAACAACGACCCGGTTGAAAAGCTCAACACGTACATCTACGACTACTTCCTGCGGAACAGGCACCACGCCCTCGCGCGCGCCATGCTCGATGGCGACCTGAAGATGTCCACCGAGAAGCCGAGCCCCAACAAGTCCAATGTAGCCAGCGACATCGACATGCCCGACGACATGCCCCTGCCCGCACTGCCTGCAGGCCAGGTCGCCGACAACTCCTTCCTGCTCGACTGGTGGGTCCAGTTCTGGGACATTTTCGCCGCCGCCAGAGGTCCCAACGGCGGCCCCAAGAATGCCGTCCAATATCTCGGCCACAACCGGGTACGTACAAACAGTTCCCCGCGTGAACAAGACTGACGAATAGACAGAATCTTGGCCAAATGCAGAACGAGCAGCGAAACCAGCGCTTGATGATGGCCAACAACCCCATGGCCAACGCGCAGTACATGATGGCCCGGAACGGTGCCATGACCAACGGCAAGCCCACCGAACTCCAGCGGACAGCACACATGAACAACCGCCCGTATGTAGTATCTGAAGCAGCGCGCCGTCTGTTACCCCCTTAGCTAACCGCAGCAGACCCGGCAACCCCAGGGCGGGCATGCAGTCCATGAAGAACCCCAACATGATTCAGATGCAACGAGACGGCTCCAACATGGACATGAACGGCAACCGCCCCAACTCGCCCGGGTCCAACGAAAATGCCCCTTCTCCAAACAAGCGCCCCCGCGTCGAAGGTACGTCATCTGTCACACCCACGACGAGGGCACAAGCTAATCAAGACCGGCCCACAGGTGGTATGAATGCTGGTAACATGCCCAACAATCAGTTCAATGAATTCATGCCGCAAGGCCCAGGTGCGCAGCAGAAGAACATCGAGGTATATGCCCAAAGTCTGGCCCATCAACACAGAGTTGCAATGAGTAACACTTCCTCCCCCCAGGGTATCAACTCTGGCGTCCAAGGCTCTCCAATGGCCCAGTCCGGCCTCGACGGTCAAGACCTCACCTTCGCTGGCAACGGCCCGCGGCCCGGCAGCATGCCCACCAATCCTCCAGGCGCACCCCAGCAGGGCAACCATGCGCTGCAGGACTACCAGATGCAACTCATGTTGCTTGAGCAGCAGAACAAGAAGCGGTTACTCATGGCTCGGCAAGAGCAAGACAACCAATCTGGACATCCTCAGCAAGGCGTCATTGGCGCTCCAGGCTTTGGCGCTGCCATGTCGCCGCAAGGTAGCAGAGCTGGTGGCCCATCGCCTAACCCTGCCGACCAAATGAAGCGAGGTACACCAAAGCTCGGCCAGCAGAATTTACCCGGCTCACCTATGCCAGAGGGAATTATGGGTCAGCAACGTGGATCACCCGCACCCAACATGAACTTCGACCCCACTCTAGCACCCCCAGGAATGCCTCCGCAATTCTACCCCCAGAACATGGGCCCGGGCCCCAACGGCAACCCCATGATGCGGCCTCCAAGCTCACACCCGAATGGCGGTCCCCAGTTCAACGGACAACCCACTACGCAGGAGCAAATGCAAGCCATGCGCAATGGCCAGATGGCCCAGAATGGTTGGCGTGGCGGGCCCCAACCAGGCATGATGGGCCCTGGCGGCCAGCAGATGGGCGGACCCATGGGCCAAAACCCTCAGCAGCGGCAACAAATGCCGCCTCCTCCAGCGCCCACAAACGAACAGCCACGACCCGAACCATCCCCATCAGTGTCTAATCAGGCACCACCGACGCCGAACCAAGGAAACAAGGCCAATCCCAAGAAGAAGGTAACCAAAGACAATAAGGTAAAGTCTCGCGCTTCCCCCCGCGCACTCTACCCCCTCGAGCAACGTTGATATTGATTTTAGAAGCCCGCAAATAAAAAGGGTAACGCAGGTGCTACTCCAGCTACATCGAACGGCGAAGAACCACCGACACCGACCTCATCGACTCCCGTCGCGCCCATCACGCCCGTACACAAGCAATCCTTCAACCAAGGACAAAACGGCGGGCCCCAGCAACCCGTGCAACCTCAGCCTCCTTCCGATCAACCCATGGACAACGGTGGTCCCCCATTTGGCAACATTGACGGTGACGTAAGTGACAGGTCCGCAATGAGTAAATGGGTGCTTTTTTGCTAATGAAACATATAGCCCAACGGTATCGATCTCGCCTTCAACTTTGGCGACGACGCTGGTGCGCTCGAAAACTTTGACTTTGACTCGTTTTTGCATACGGGAAATGACAATGACGCTTTTGGCAATCTGGTCAGCGACTTTGATTTCCCGAACGCGGCCGAAGTATAGCGCACTTGGAAAATCCAAGTGTTCGACTGCCCTTTCGCTTAGTCGATCGGTCGGCGCCCTGTTGGTGGTTGGCCTTTTGTTGTGGTGGAACAAAAACAAAATCCTGTTTTCATATACCCGTGTTGTCTCTTACCAAAGACCACCACCCTACATCGATCGCTTTCTCATCTCATTCTCTCTTATTGGAGCATACGGGGCTTAGGGCTTAAGGGCTTAAGGGGATTTAGTCTTCGGGCGGTTCGTTCTAAACCCTTCTCTGTTCGTCATATGGGCGTTATTATCTGTTGGCGTCTTGCTTGCTATGTTCTGCCGCTTACGTACGGAACTTACCTTGCTTATGCTATCTATGTTTGTCCGGCCTCTTCTGGCCATTTAGCTTTTCTCCTCACATATCGCTACCTACTACCACAATACTCTATTTCCTTGTCTTGTTCGAATTTGCTTTCTTGCTGCTGCTGCCTTTGTTATGTTTGCACTACAACAACGCATCTTTTTTTTCTTTCTCTTCTTCTTCTCTTGCATCCATTCGCTATCTACGGCTGTCCACACTATGTGTAGTGGTAGACGTCCTTTACCTTGTTTTGTTGTGAGTGTGGATGTGTTTTGCTTATAGTTTGTCGTTACTATTGTTTCTCGATGTTCATGTTCATGTTCATGTTCATGATCATGGATGTTTTGGACGTGGAAATTTGGAAAGAGAACGAGAAGAGGAAGGAAGGAAGGAAGGCTGATGTAGCCGTGGAAAGTGTGCTAGGGGAAGGGACGAGTGGAGGAGAAGGGGGTGAGAGGGTTCGTTTAGAAAAACCCCGTTGCTATACCATTAAATTTTTCTTTTATCTTGTTTCGGTGGCGACTGGAGGGAGGGAGAGGGAGACGAAGATGTGTGGGAGAGAGGGAGAGCGAGGCGAGAATCAGTGGTCAGCTTTTATATATATCATTCGAGATGACTTAATGCCAGATATAAGTTCTTTTCTTTCTCTTTTTTTCTTCTCTTTGAGATATCTTAGTCTCACACGCATGCTTGTATCGAGTGATGGAATGATGTGTGAGATTAATATGATTCTTGGTATGAAGCTATGTGAGTGAGGATTGTCATGTTCCTTCTCAGATGGCCTTGTGGATTTAGACTAACATCCCACTTTGACGTTGAATGCGGATAGGTCCAAGTAATGAAATAATCGGCCGAGGGGCAAAATAGCACAAGAGAGATTGAAGTATTCAGTGCAGATGGTTTCCTACTTGAGATGTATGGTGATTGGCCTTCGTATTCAACATGTGGATAGCGCGAGACAGGTACTCGCTAATATCACAGTTCGGCCGTAGCGGAGAATATCCTTCCCCCGGACATCCCACCCTGTTTCGTCAGGTACACTACGTGTCTGATGTGGAGAACGTCTGGGTCTAGTTTCAGTACATGTCACATGCTCTCTAGAACTTGCACCTGCAGTGTCGATCGCACACGTGATGTGATGGACTCATGCCGGTCGAAACCACGAACCTCGGTCACCCTTGCTCCAAACCGAGTATTTGGTACAAAGGCATGTATTCCGAGAACCCCTTTCGGTTCCGCTTTGAGAACGCATTGGGATGCGGTGAGGAGCAGTCTTTTTGTGAGCAGGCTGAAAGTAAGTGTCAAGTTTCATTCATTGCTCCCTCCCAGCCTGTGAGCATTGTCGGAATACCAACGTAATCTATATACGGTACTTTGAGCAATCTATGTATACATTCTATTTGTGACCAGGACCAATCCTTCGTGACCCATATAACCCAAGGAGAGTCGTTCAACCATCAACCATACCAACTCATTAATATGAGCCATAACCCATAACCCGTGACCCGTAATGCATAACCCATCGTCCAATCCATCATGCCCCATTATACTTCATCAAATTCCTCAGCACACCAAGCTCGTCCTTCAACTCCGCTCACTCACAGTCGACAGCCTGTGAAGCCAGTTTGAATACTTACCCGGCCGTCTAGTAAGTATTCTCACCCCTCCCCCCAAACCCCTGACCCTCAAGTGCCTTCTTCTTCCTAATCTGATGAATACTGGCTACCGTCGGGATCGTCCTAGTCCCATCATTGCTAATCAACCCACCAACAGGCCCCCTCTGCGCTTCCAGGTCTGGTTCTTGAGATCCCTCCCTAACCTTTTCAATCTCCTCTTTGACCTCCTGGTCCTTGTCGTCGTCATCCTGACCGGGGTTCGCGACCTCGTACTCGAGGATCTTGATGAATTGGTAGAAGACAACGGCAATGATGGCGCCGACTGCGGGGCCCACCCAATAGATCCAGTGTTCCGTGTCGAAGACGCCAGTTACGACGCAGGGGCCGAAGGAGCGGGCAGGATTGAGAGAGCCGCCAGTGTAGTAGACGCCGACTAGCTCCGCGATGAAGAGGGCGAGGCCGATGCCGACAGGGGCTATAAAGGTGGCTGGTGGGGGAGTTAGTTATTTGGGTTGGACGAGCAGAAGGTATGAAGGAAAGACATACCTTTATGTTTCTCCTTTGCCAACATGAAGATGGTAAAGACGAGCTCTGCTGTAAGCAATGCCTCAATCAATACGCCCTGCGCCAGACTGGTCCCCTCACCAAGTGTAGTCCGAACATTAAAATCCGTAGGGAACAAGACACTGACGATGTAACTGGCAAAGATACTTCCCGTAATCTGCGCTGCAAGTAGCAAGAAGGCGCGGACGGGTGATAGAGCGCGGCAGAGTAGCATGGCGAACGTAACAGCCGGGTTGAATAAACCACCGCTGATACGGAAGAACACCCAGACATTTACCATGAGGGAGAAGGCGAAGACGAGGGCAATATAGAGGAGGACAATGGGGGAGAAACCGGCGGCTTCGTTGGTTGTCGTGTTTTGATCTGGGTTTGCTGAGGAGTCGATGTTGGCGACTTGGGTGCCGGAGAAGGCGAAGAAGAGGAACATGGTTGTTCCTACAAATTCTCCTACGAAAGCAACAAAGTCTTTGATAGAATGTGTTAGCGACGTAGAGGAATGAGTAAGGTGGAGATTACTTACGGTTCTTTGCATTACTTCCCATCCAGACGGCCCAGGGCAGCCTCATCACAGCCTTCGCTGATGGGTACTCTGGCGGTCCCTTGCTTCCTCCACTTCCGGTACCCGGCATAGGAGGGCGGCGTGGAGGGTAATCCGTGGGCTCGGGGTAGTACATTTCATAGTTTGGCTTACCCGGTGTATCCGAGTATTGGGGCTGCATGTTTGCGTCGACACTATTCCTTGGTATCGGTCCATATCTGGAGTTTTGCTCGACGTAGTTGCGGTAGGCCATAGGAGGGCCCTGAGTGCGACGGTTCGACCGACGACGGTACATTTGAGGGTTGTAATCCTCCTCTTCATAGTCGTCTTCTATGTATGGACCACGATGAGTGGTAGGGGTGTAGGGAACATTCTGAGATGGTCGTCGAGGTCGATTAGGTGTCCACTGGTCATTAGGGTCACTTTGACCTCCTATTCTCCGAGCATTGGACGGCATTGACCTCAGGGGAAGGTCGCTCTGTTGCTGCTGCTGCTGTTGCTGGGGCAGACTCTGATCAGACTCCATATGGTAGTCGATATGTGCTGGGTGGGGTTGTGCTGGTAGTCGTAACAACTCTTGCCTTGAGTCACTGGATGCTCGCGTTGGTGGCATAACAGGGGATTCCATTATCGTACCATCTTGCAGTGTCTGGCCATAGTACTGAGGCTGCTGGTTGTTTTGTTGCGCCATGTAGGCGAATTGAGTGATGGTAACTGCTAGACTGACCGATGAAGGTTTGACAAGAAGGTGAGAGCGTTGGAGAGGTGAAAGAGTTGTAATAGAGCGCTTGAAATAGTGGCCACGCTTGTATGGCTAGCTGGGTAGTGGTGGTGTTTGGTAGTAGTTTAGTATAGTGTAGATCAACGCTCAAAGTTATGCGTCGTTGTGCTGAGCGGTCAACGAGACCATATATGCTCGCTGGCCAAGGCTGTAGCGAAGACCCTGAATAGACCCATCCCCCGCCTCTCGTCATACCTAATTTGGTCCAGTGTTGTCTGTCCGTAGTCTTCTCGGCGTGATATCAGCCCGTGCATTTGCTTCATTCGTTGATGGGAGCAACGGGTGGGTTCCATATCCAGGGTTTCGCTCATCGAGGCCTGAACGACGCTTACAATGACGTATCTTCGCTGTCCCTTGATACAAAAATGGGCGGGATGCACTTAGTCGTAGCATGGGGTATCTTGTAAAAGAAGCATGCATTGCCTAGTGGGGGCAAACAGGAGTTTGTCAGGAGGTTGAAACCAGCCGTTGTCCGTAGGGATGGCGATGGCCGGCAAATGAAGAGGCTGCATGATCTTGAAAGTTCTTGCAAGTTACTCGAGAGTTCACAAGGTAGTCGCTTGTAGTTGTGATCGCAACCGGGATGTTCGTGGTAGGCTATCGGTTATCTTGTATGGGTGCTAGCGGGATCCCTGCCGCAATGCAGAATCACAACCCCAGTACCTGTTTCGCCAGCAAAAGTAAAACGCCTAGCTGCGTGGACACGAGAGGCGTTTGAAATGGGCTAATAATGACAAAAACCTGGAAGCCTAGGCAATAAGGCATTCATAGAGTCGCGATAGTTGTTGAGCAAAGGGAGTGAAGTTCTATTCGACACCGCGAGCGTCGTTCGAAATGACTAATTTCACGATCGACAATACCGTCGTCTCGGTTTCGCAGGGTAGCAAAGTATCCTGCATGTCGGTGCAACGGAGGTACGTATTCTTTTCTCCGTCCACGCGATGGCTGTCTTTGTGTGAGGCTGCGTAAGCACTACGCCGTATATTCTAGATACTGGAGGCTGGAGGGGCTAGTCGGAATACGAAGCTGTGTGTTGTCGTCAGATCCTTCGCGGCAGAAAAGCAAAACGGGAAATATCGAGTTGTGATCCAGCCTCGTGCGGGGCGGTGGCTGTATTGACCTGGGTTGCATCCATGTAGTGGATCTCCGGATCTTCGATGAGCTGACGTT